CCCCTGCGGTGCTTGGCGGGGCTCCCGCCCGGTCCTAGTGTCCGCTGCCAGAGTCTCCTTCAGACCTCCGAGGGCGCCACCAGCTCCCACTCTCCTGTGCCCGGCTCGCCGACGCCCGGGTGGCCCCACAGCTGAGCTCGCCGCGGTTGCCTCCCTGGCCCCCGCTAGCCATGAGCAGCGCGCGCTCCCTGGTCCTTTTCTCCTTGATTGCCGTTTGCAGGCGCGGTGAGTTCTTTTCGGGGCAGGAGGGAGGGGCGCCTGGGTAAGGCAGCGCCCGACGGGACTGGCCACAGGTGGGAAGGAAGGGAGGGTGCCCTGCGCTCGGGGGAGTGGCTCGAGGTTGCCCGGCCGGAAGAGGGTGTGGGCGAGACGAGCCTACGTGCGAGGGGCGGGCCCGGATAAGTGGGTCTGCGAGGTTTGGGGTGTGGACCACCTCTCTGCACGGGTGCCAGGGCCTCCCTCCGTGGCGCGCGCCTTTGGGCTGGGCGGTGGGGCTCGATGGACTCGCCTCTGCAGGCAGCACTGCTCAGCCCCAGCGCGAAGGGACGCCGAGAGGCCCCGACTCCGGGTAGTGACAGGTTCTTCCCCCGAGAGGTCTGGACACCAGGGAGCAAACACGCTGCTCTGTCTTGGAGAAAGGACACATCGCTTTTGTTGAAATCGGGCAACAGCCTTGCGGGGATGCGGCTTGCCCAAATCGCCAGCCTGGAATGTTCTGTAGTGTGAGACCGGGTCTCCTAAGAAAACACACCCTTAATGTACCACTGCTTCTGGTCATCCACCCTTGGGGGCTGCAGGGGCGGGACAGCCAGCTTGGCCGAGGGCGGGGCTCGTGAAGTGCAGCCTGCCAGTCCCTGACACCTGGAAATGAAACCCAATCAGTCCTTCCCAGGCAGAGGCCAGGTATGGTGAGGGTTGCCTTCTCTGTGCCTCAGTTTCCCCACCTGAATTCCAAGGACTCTTTCAGCTCCTACCCTCTGGCCCAAGCTTGTCCTCTGAGCCCTAGTCAACCTAGAGGACCAGGCTACATCTTCCTTGGACAGAGACACACCACAGGGGCTGCTGGAAGTAGGAGTGGTGGGGACATAGAAGTTCCTATAGGGAAGTGGAGCTCTCACCAGAGGTGGTGTCTGCACTGTGTGTGTGTGTCCTGGCTCTGGAAACAGAGCCTGGGAATATGCATTTATACAAGCATCCAGGTGATACTTACAAATGACTGGAGAAGCTACAGAAAATATATGGTAAGCTTTCTGTAAACTGTGAAAACCTTAACTTTTTTTTTTTTTTAACTCATAGCTAGCTGCCTTTTAATAAACACAAATCTTCTGTTCCCTTCCTCAGTTAAAAGATTCACAAACCCTAACTGAAAATCAGTCTACCTTTTGGATGCCCACTTGCCAGGAAGATTCTGTTGACCTTTACCTTCTGTAGTTTGTAACCTAAACCAATAGGTATTATCTTTCCATTTCTCCAATATAGATTTTAAGGTCACTATGCTTTTTGAAACTGTACAGACACTCACATAGTTTAGAATTCCAGTTATGGGTTCCTCTTGGATAACCCCTTTCTGCTGGGGAGCAGTTTTTCCAGAGAAGGTTTAGGAAGGCAAGGCCCTGGACAAAAGGCAGGTGGAGCCCACTCCTCATCAGATTCATTGGGTCATGACTGACCCCTAGTGGTAGCCTCTCTGTTTACCTGAGATGTGACCCCTCATTTGCACCCCAGAAGCTTCCACCCATTCTGGACCATCCTTGTCAGGGCATGTCCCTTGTCTTTTGAACCTAGCAGACCTTGCAGGCGTAAAGCAGCAGATGAAAACCCTCAATGTGTGTTGTCCGGGCTTTTCCCCACCACCTTTTTGGGGAAGTAGGAGTGCATTCCAGCCTATAGCAGCCCTCCTGGTCATCCCCACCCCTAGCCCACACAGTCACACATACAAGTACAAACACAGGCATAGTCGTGAGCACATACTTGTCTCCTCTGGACACCGACTCAGCCTCTGTAGCGGCAGCCTCCTTAGAGTAAGTCAGCAAGAAGTACCAAAGAAGGCACGGGGGTTGGGGGAGGGCCTCTGTCTGCAAGAAGCCCCTAGACCTGGCTCTGTCTCTGACTTGCTGAAGCTCTTTGAGTAAATTCCTTCCCCTCCTTGGTTTCAGTTTCCCCAGCTGAAAATGGGGAATTAAGCTAAATGGTTTAAGGTTTTGGGAACCCCTAACTCTGGAGCCCATAGCTGGTACTAAGATGGGATTATGTCCTTCGGGGTCAGCTGAATGCCAGAGAGGCAAGACTGTTGCAAAGGTGAGCAGCCTGAGCATCGCAGCTGGGCTCAGAGCCGGAACACAAGCCCCCACAGCCTGCAGAGCAGCCCTGACTTCTCAGGAACCCAGATCAACCAGCCCCCTGGGGCTACAGAAATGGGAGATCCAGCCTCCCCTAGAATGGCACAGCTGGAGGCCAGGAGCTGCAGATTCTAACCCCAGAGCTGCCACAGACATGCCAGATGGCCTTGGGCAAGTCATACCTTTCCTTCTGAAATAATGAGTCAATCAAAATATACACACTGAAGAGGGCCTGTAGGAGGGACCCATCTATAACCTGGGGCTACAGACTGGCAGCCAGAGTATTCAAGGAGGTCCAAGGTGTGAGAGGCAGGGCTCAGAATCTAGGCCAAGCATCCAAAGGACCCCTTCCGGACAGCATGGGCAGTCTGGGGGAGGGACAGCAGGCAGTAGGTGCGCCTGCAGCATCTTTCACAAGGCACTAAATATTTCATCTGCTCCAGATAGGCAGCGACTTGGAAAGTGCATAAAGCAGGCAGGGTGGCACTGCTCCCTATGGCCATTTGTCTATCCCAGCACCCACCCAGGAGTCCACTTCAGACTCGTTGGTTGGGCAATTCACAATCTGGGCTCTCTGACCCCACCCACAGGGAGGGGTTAGCTAAGACACCGGGACCTCCTCTTCAGAGGAGGTTGTAGTCTGAGTCCTAGGCCTGGTGAGCTAGCAGCCCCTCTCTGCCACCCAACCCCCACCCTTCAGCCTTCCTTACTCCCTCATTCTCCTCCCTCCTGTTCTCCTGCCCCTACACTGTTTCCTCTGTGCATCCTCATCTCTCTCCTTGCTGCTGGGCCTTCCTGCTTAGCTGTCCTTGACCTTCCTCTGAGTCTACCTCTTTTCAAGACACACACATTCTTCCTGAAGACACCAGAGTAAATAAGATTGAGTCCCTGAACCTCACCTTCACTCCCAGATGTGTGAGGCAAATGCGATATGGACCCAAACACCACTTGGCAAGAGATCTGGGGCTTTGAACTCAGGGGGCCCCTGGCTAGGTCAGGTTCCCCGAAGAAGGCTGCATTTGTTGGGTCTTGAATGAGGCTCTGAGCCAAGATCACTCCTTTAAGCTCTAGACCAGGAGCCAACTGGCATTGGGTATTCTCGGTAGGTCTGAGTCTGAACCCAGTCAGTTCCCCCTAGCCTACTCCTGTTCTCTTCTAAGTGAAAGCACCACCTGCTCTGCACACAAAATCCACATTAGAGTAATACCTCTTCTCCTCTATACTGGAAGCTTTCTGAGGCCATTTCTGTTTTTTTGCAAAACACAGTCACTCAGATATTTGATGGCTGGTGGCCTTGGGACAATCCTGGCAGGAGTGTGTTCAAAGACTTAGAAGTAAGACAGTGAAGGCTACATGGGGTCAGGAAAACAGCTGGATATGGACAGAATGTATAGTGTCTGGGTGTAGAGGTAGAGAGGGAGGAAAGATCAGGTTAAGGAAGATAAGCTGGTACCAGGGGTAAAGGGCTTTGGATGCCATGCAGATCATTTGGGTTTGCACTTTGCCTACCGCTCTGAGAGGTTGTGGGCTCTGGTCTAGCTTGCTGGAGGAAGACTACTCTGGCATTGCATGGTGCATGATGTCGGGGTAGAGTGGGGGTGGAGAGACCAGCAAGGAGGCCGCTGGAGGAGAGGGCAGGTTAGTAAGCTGGGAGCAGGGCTAGGGGCACGGGAGGGAGGACAGCCTGGGAGACTTGGAAAGCAGAATAGGACTGGTTGGCCACTCCAGTTTCTGGAGGATGTCTAGAGTGTGGTGTGCCGTTCATTGCTAGAGGGAACAGGAGAAAGAGGTAGGACATGGGAGGAGAGAGCCAAGCTCTGCCTTGGATTTATTTAACTTGAAATCCGCAGGGAGAAGCAGCCCTGCCAGCACTTCAGCTGCTCCCACTGGCCCTGAGGGCATCCTTACTGCGCTCCCCTTCACTGCCATCAGTAAGGGTCAGCTGAGCGAGGGCCCAGCACATCTATGTTTTCCCAGGGGACTGTCACGTGGCCAATGCTGAGGAGAAGCTCATGGACGACCTTCTGAACAAAACCCGCTACAACAACTTGATCCGTCCAGCCACCGGCTCCTCCCCGCTCATCTCCATCCAGCTGCAGCTCTCCCTAGCCCAGCTCATCAGCGTGGTAGGTGCAGGGGCAGTTGTGCTAAAGGCAGGTTTCCAGTGCCCCAGCCAGGTCTGGGGACAGGCAGTGGCCATTCAGTGTGTAGGGCTGGGAGTTGGGTGGTTTGGGTTTTACTTCTGGCATTGCTTAGACAAGATCCCAGATTGCTCGTCTCATCTTTTTCCATATGCATAAATTAAGGAATTTGCCAAATCCTTAAGGGTTTTGATTGCCTCTAATAGGCTTTGATTCTTTCATTCCAAAAATGCTGTCTGTGCCTTTGCTCATTTACTTCTCTTTGTCCTGCCCCACTCTGTGCACACTAGCGCCACAGTTTGGAGCCACCTACAAATCCATGATCTCAATATTGATTAAAATGCTTTGGCTTCAACTACCAGAACATCCAACTACAAGAGGTTAAAGCAAGTAAGGAGAGTATTATGTATTCACATAACGAGAGAGCAGCCCAGTCGTTTCAGTGCGGGTTAATGCAGTAGTTCGCTGGCGTCAGGAGTCTAGGTCGTTGTCGGTGTCGGGACTCTGTGATTCTCTTGTTTTTTCTGCCTTCATCCTAAGATGGCAGACACAGCTCCAAACATAAAATCTTCACATAATAATGTCTGCAGCAGGAAATGGCTAATCCCTTCTTGGACCCCTTTTCAAGTACAAGGAAAACTTTCCCAGAGGCCTGCCCTCTAGATAATCCCCACATCTCAGATGCCAGGGCTGCAGCTCATGCCTAAGCCTTAAGCAGTCATTGGCTGGAGGAATGGAATTCCCATGGTTGGCTGAGACTCATCATTACATGTCAAGGGGGGTGGGGAAGGGTCCGTGAGGTTCATGAGTATCCAGTATCTAACAAAGTCATGATTTTGTTAGTAAAGATGTGAGGGGGAATGGTCACTGGGTAGGCAACCAATTAGCCTGCCATACACAGGTAGGCTCCCAACATGGCCATTAACTTCTCCCTGTCTTCACAGCTCTATCCTATTATCTTCCCCAGCCTACTCAACAGATGGCCTCACATACACCCTACTTGTTGGAGGATAGAGGAGCTAGGTTGCAGTAAACTAATGGATCCAGATGTCCAGGAATAGGGGCAGGACCAGAGGCAACTGCTGCCCCAGTAGAGCCATGTGGGTGAGGGTCTGGACAAATAAGGGCAGTTGCTGAAGGTACGGAAGGGAGGAATGGACTGCAGAGTTCACAGCAGGGTTGTCAGGTCTCAGTGTGTGGATGTGGGGCAGGGGTGGGGGTGCTGAGGAAAGCTGAGGTGCCAGGGAGTTCCCCTTCTTCCCTTTGGTTTCTCTGAGGTATGGATGTCTGAGGAGCCATGGCCCATTGTTGACTTTCCCCATGTGGCCCTTCCCACACCCCTATGCATTGGGCTGGAGCCCTGCCCTCGGCAGCAGCACTGAGGGGAGTTTATATGAGGAGCATGTAGGGTTTTCTGTCCAGCCATGCAGAAGGAGGTAAATGAGCTGACTGAGCCTCTTCTAGTCAGGTGGCTGCCTTCTTACCCACTGCCCCTCTCCCTAGCACAACTGGCCCCCATAAACCCAGCCCCTCCAACCAAGACCTCTCAAGGAATGAAGAGCTTGTGCTCCTGTCCCTCTCCCCTCTGTAGGTCGACTGGAAGAAATAAGGGCTTCTGGCCAGGCTATGCCCAGGCTGGTTACTGAGAATTACTGTCTAGCCAAGGGGTTTTTGCTTAATGGGGTGAGCCCAGCTGCTGTCCTGGTGAGGGTGAACAGCCAGGCACTCTGGCCAAGATTCTAGGCTAAGGCTGCCAGTGCCAGATCTGCACTGTGGGCCCCATGCAGAAGTTACCAGAAGGAGGATAGGGTACAGCCTCCAGCCCCCATGCATGTGAGTGTGCCTCTATGAGTTGTTATTATCCTTAAAGCTGAATTTAGAACAGATACTAAGTTTTAGGATTTTTTTCCCTCTTCTGTATGTCAGGGCTTGGTTTTCAAGGAGGGAGAGTTATGGGTATAACCACTTTGAATATGGAAGTTTCTAGGAAGTAGACAAGGTGTTTGTGCTGGGTAAGTCAAGCAGGCCTTCAGAAGCAGCTCTTTGAGGAGGCCAGTGACTTGAACCAATGTCCTCAGGCATGTAACCATCAGCTGCTAAGTGACAGAAGGGGAGTGAGGGACAGGACTAAGGCAAAAGAGAGCTTTCTGGGTGATAGAAATGTTCTTTCTCTTAAAAGGAAGGGGGTTCATGAATAATACATTTGTTAAAACTGATCAGACTGTACACTAATATCTAGGCATTTACAACTATGTAAATTACAACTTAAAAAATTTTTTAGAGACAGATGGTTTTCAGCTTTCAGCAATGGCCAAGTAGCATGTTGCAGAAGAACAGTTAGAAAAGCTGGACAAAAATGTCCACCCATGAAATGAAAGCCTCTTCAACAGCTGGTGTTGGCAAAACTGGACAGCTACATGTAAGAGAATGAAACTGGATCACTGTCTAACCCCATACACAAAAGTAAATTCAAAATGGATCAAAGACCTGAATGTAAGTCATGAAACCATAAAACTCTTAGAAAAAAACAAAGGCAAAAATCTCTTGGACATAAACATGAGCAACCTCATCATGAACATATCTCCCTGGGCAAGGGAAACAAAAACTAAAATGAACAAGTGGGACTATATCAAGCTAAAAAGCTTCTGTAGAGCAAAGGACACCACCAAAAGAACAAACACTGACCAAAGACATAAAACTACAGATTCCAAGGTTCTGTGAATACTGTGAGGGGTAAGTACAGAGAAAATCATACCCAGGTAATTCATATTAAAACTCTTAACAACCTAAGACAAAGAGAAAATCTTCAAAGTAGTCAGAGGGAAAAGAAAGACAGAAGCAACGATAAAACTAACAGCTGAAAATGGAAGCCGGAACACTGAATGACATTTTAAAACTGCTGTAAGAAAAAACCCACAAACCTAGAATTAGATAACCAGTGAAAATAAACCTCAGAAATGAAGGTTTAATAAAATATTTTCAGACAAGAAATAGAAAATAAATAAAATCTAACCATAAGGAATATAATCCCAGATGGAAACACAGAAATGTAGGAAAGAATGAAGCAAAACAAAGAGTAAGTGTAAAGATTAATTTAAATTGATATTGACAGTATAAAACAATAAAAATATGTTGCAAGGTTTTAATTACATGTAGAATTAAATACATGACAACAATCACCCAAAAGTCAGGAGGGGATAGATGGAATTGAAATGTTCTAAAGTTCTTGCCTTGTTCAAGAAATGGTAAAAGTACTAATTGGTATTAGATTCTAAAAAGTTAAGAATATGCATATTGTAGTTTCCAGGTTAATATTGGAAGAAATGGAATAACATAATCTGAAGTAAGGCAAGAAAAATGAGAAAAAGAAATAAACAGAAAACCGATGATATGTTTAAAGCAAACATATCATAACTACATTAAATGTAAATGGCTTAAATACTCTAATAAAAAAAAGACAATTGGCATACATCCTTCTCTCTCTTCTTCCCACCTTTCCCTCAACAGTCTGGGGACATAATGGCTGGAGCTACAACAATCGTCTTGGACCGTGCTAATAAGACTGCACTCTAGGTGTGGTAGGGAAGAAAGCTGGAAGGAATGTGTGTCTCTGAAGACTTTGTAGAAGAAAACACTGTATATGTCTGAACTGCAAACTTTATTTAAGCCAGTGTTACTCTGGCTGACTGTTACTGGCAGCTGAACCTTATCCTACTGATATGCTCACTTAGTTGAGGGTTCAGGAAAGTTTCCTTGAAGAAGTGACTAAAGCTGAGATCAAGATGCTGGAAGTTATTTCGCTGAAGAGGAGGCAGGGAAAGTGTACAGACTGAGAACACAAGATGCAGAGAACTGAAGGTGGCGAGGGGATGGAGGCTGCAAGGACAGAGCACAGAATAAAGGGAAAGAGGGTGGTGAAATGAAGCTGGGAAAGTTGGCAAGGCCTTGCAGACCCTGTGAAGGAGTCAGATTTTTATTATATATCTAAAGAAAGCCACAGAAGTGACCCATGGAGGGATAGAACTGAGGGGGAAAGTGGCAGGAATTTTGGGAAGTTTATTCAGCTGCATAGGAAGAATAGATGTGTGTGTGTTGGGGATGGGGGTGGTGCACAATGGACATAGACCAATGGGAGGGTCTTGCAATGGTCTAGAGAGAAATGGATTAGGGTGGGCTGGATCACTGTGATAGGAGCTTTGTGTTTTTCAGCACCCCGGCCACTCTGCAGAGAATAGACTAAAGGCTAGGGCGGAGCAGGAAGACCAGTAGGCCAGGGGACAGGTGAGGGTGCCATGGAGATGAAGGAAAGCAGACAAATTTGAGATACTTGTAAGAAATACAATCCATAGGACCTACTAATGGATCAGAAAGTGAGGTGTCAGAGAAAACTCCCAGATTTCTGGCATGTGGAATTCTATGGCTGGGGGTGCCAACGGAGGACCAGGTTTGTGTGAAAATCATGAGCTTTGTCTCAGACACCCTGGGTGTAAAACACCATTGAGCCACACAAGAGATGTTGGGCCAGCAGTTGGTCACATGTCCCTGGAGCTCAGAGCCTTTTGTGTGACAAAGTGAGATCTGTGTGTGAGGGCTCCTCCTACCCATTGAACTGATAGCCCCACTTTCCTCCTCAGAATGAGCGAGAACAGATTATGACCACCAACGTCTGGCTGAAACAGGTAAGCGCCCTGATGGATCCCTGGCCCAGAAGGACTTTCCTCTGGGGTTGCCTCCTGGTGCTGAGGGACCTACAAATGAAGCGGCATTACCTATCTGCTCAGGAATGGACTGACTACCGTCTGGCCTGGAACAGCTCCCGTTATGAGGGTGTAAACATCCTGAGGATCCCTGCAAAGCGCATCTGGCTGCCTGATATTGTGCTTTACAACAAGTGAGTGGCAGGGTTGGCTAAGGTGGTGAGGGCCAGGGCAGCGGGCCAAGCCTCTGGGCTCCTCAGGTCGTGAGTTCAACCTCAGTCCTCATCTGTGCTTCACTTAGACTTTCAGGCCATCAGGCTAAAAGAGGAATTAGAAACGAGCAGTGTCAGCACACTCAGGTGCAGTTGGGGAATCAGGGACCCAGAGATGGGGAGGCCTTTGCTAACTTACTCTCTAGCACAGCTGGCACCAGGGCCAGCATCCTGACCCGGAGTCCAGTGCTCTTTTTGTCCTCCATACTGTCTTTTGGACCCTCAGTTGCTTTTTCTGTTTGGGGTATTGGTAGCAATGAGTTACTGTGCATAAATATCTTAGGTAGGTGGAGGGAGCTAAAGAAACTCTTCATGGGTTGTAGTTATATCAACAGCAGCATGAAATGATTATGAGTATGTTAGGGACAACAGACCTGAGTTCAAATTTCAGCTGTATTGTTTACTAGTTTTCTGATTTTGAAGAAGTCATTTAATGTCTCTGAGCCTTGGTTTTCCCATCTGTAAAATGAGGGTAATAATAAAACCTACCTCATTGAACTATTGTGAGGCTTAAATGAACCAAACATGAGAAGCTTTTAGGCTGCTTCATTGGAAGGCTTGCTCTACCAAGTAAAGCAGGCCTTTGCAGTGAGGGCATGGGATGGGGAAGGGAGAGTTTGGAAGGGTGAGAAATAATACTGAAGGGCTTTTTGGTGAGTTCTGAGAGTGGGTGGTCAGGCCTTGTCTGTGGATTTCATGATGCTCTCTCCATGCCCTGCCCCCACTCCCAGCGCTGATGGGACCTACGAGGTGTCTCTCTACACCAATGTGATGGTCTGCTCCAATGGCAGCATCCTGTGGCTGCCCCCTGCCATCTATAAGAGTGCCTGCAAGATTGAGGTAAAGCACTTCCCCTTTGACCAGCAGAACTGTACCCTCAAGTTCCGCTCTTGGACCTATGACCATACAGAGATTGATATGGTCCTCAAGTCACCGACAGCCAGCATGGATGACTTTACCCCCAGTGGTGAATGGGACATAGTGGCCCTTCCAGGGCGAAGGACAGTGAACCCACAAGACCCCAGTTACGTGGATGTGACTTACGACTTCATTATCAAGCGCAAGCCACTCTTCTACACCATCAACCTCATCATCCCCTGTGTGCTCATCACCTCGCTGGCTATCCTTGTTTTCTACCTGCCATCTGACTGCGGTGAGAAGATGACGCTGTGCATCTCCGTGCTGCTGGCGCTTACAGTCTTCCTGCTGCTCATCTCCAAGATCGTGCCGCCCACTTCCCTTGATGTGCCGCTCATCGGCAAGTACCTCATGTTCACCATGGTGCTGGTCACCTTCTCTATTGTCACCACTGTCTGTGTGCTCAACGTGCACCACCGCTCACCCAGCACCCACACCATGGCTCCCTGGGTCAAGCACTGCTTCCTACACAAACTGCCCACCTTCCTCTTCATGAAGCGTCCTGACAGCTGCCCCTCTGGGGCCCCCCAGCCCAGTCAGTCTCTCCTGACTAAGTCCAGAGCCACCACCACTACCGTGGCCATGGGACCTGCCAGCCCTTCCAACCTCTATGGGAACTCCACGTACTTTGTGAATCCTGCCACTGCAGCTCTCAGGTCTCCAGTTGGCTCCGACTTGGCGGGTATTCCCAGGGATTTTCGGCTGAGGTCTTCTGGGAGGTTCCAGCAGGATGTGCAGGAGGCTCTAGAGGGTGTCAGCCTCATCGCCCAGCACATGAAGAGTGATGACCAAGAGCAGAGTGTAAGTTGATAGCCAAGCTGCTGCCCCTGCCCACAAGCTTCCCGTTTCCCACAGTTAATTCATATGAGACAGAGGCTCTCAAACTCTTGGTTTGAATAAGGAATCCCAAACTGAAATGGCCCTCTGAGGACGCAGGGGAACAAGCCTCAGAATCCCACTCTGGGAGTGAGGCAGGGGTATTCACCTGTCAACGCCCATCCCCCATGGTTGGAATGCATCCATCCCTCCTGCATTAACGCCCCTGCACTCCTGGTTGCCCCTGCACTCCTGGTTATGCCAGCCAACTGGAGCATGCTGGAGAAAGCCCTGGGGCAGAGAAGAAAGGAAATGCAGGCACCTGAAGTGGGAGGCTGTCAGAGGGCTGGAAAATTTAGGGACACGTGTGGGCTGAGGCGCCAAAGGCAAACTGCTCCATCCCCATAGGCTTGCCAAGGAAGCCATACGTTACCTTTATGGCTTTTAGGAATTTGGAAACATCAATTAAAATACTGCCACCAAGGCAATAAATTATCAAGTAGGCTGACTATAATTACAGATTTCTTTTTAAAGGTTAAGTTACTTTCACAGGACAAAGTAATGAGTGCCAGAGTTAAGGTATCTGAAATAACTGCACTTCAAAGAACAATTTCATAATTAGCTCAACAGAATGTGATGGTAACAGCAATTTCCACACACATCCCCATAGTGGTCAGGAGACCAAGCTTCATGGTCTTGCAAGTGTTCTCATTCCAGCGCCTTATCAGATCAGATTCTTTGAACAGGTGTTTATGGCATGCAGCTGAATGGAAAAGAGTGCTGTCTCCTTGTTCCCGTCCTTCCACCGTTACTCTTCACTAGCCGCCTTCTCCAGGGAAAATGCTGGGATTCCATTAGTTAGCACAGAGAGAAAAGAGCAGGGCAGAAAAGCTCCAAAATCATGCTGTGGAAAAGAGAAAAGAGAATTGCTAACAAATAGAATTTAGGACACAAGCTCCTCCACACCGTGGCTCCTCGGGGTGTGGTGCTCAGACCAGCAGCACCAGATCCCCAGGGGCTTGTGTGCACATGCAGGCTGAGAAACACTGGTCTCTTGCTCCCCCATATGAGCTGGCACCCCCTCTGAGCTCTCTCTTCTAAAGGTCTTGGCAGTCGCAGGTCTCCTGCTCTTTCTGACTCAATTAATTAAAAGCCTCTTGTGGAAAGCAGCTTAGGCAGGACCCACCATTATTATAATTGCCAGTGTTAATTGAGCTGCAACCATACATCAGCTGCCCAGCCAGGACCTGACATATTATTGCTAACCCTCCCAGGAACCCTCTGTGAAGTGGCACTTACTCAAACCGCATTTTACAATAGGGAGAGGTAGGTTCAGAGAGGCCCGCTGGCTTGCCCAGTGTCACGTAGCTAGCCCAGAGCAGGACCAAGCTCCATATATTTGGATCTTTCTGATGTCTCTAAACTTTCTTGCCCTGTGCTGAGAAAACTGTGGACTTCTTGATTGATAACTTTCTCATATCTAGCTGGAAAAAGAGGCTTTCTTTCCTTCCAGATCTTGTCTGCTAAACCAGCCCAAGCTGGGTTTCTCATCCACAGCACTTTCACCCTCCTGGTGATTAGCTGGTCACTATAAATAGCATATCACAAAAATATAAAAAGAGAAAAGGCACACACACATCAAAAAAAGTCATTTGAAATGAGTGCTGTCAGGCTGTCGGAAAGAAACCCAGGACAGCCGAGGAGCGCTCAGCACGCAGAGCTGGGCATGCCTGCTGCATCTCAGGGACAGGCCGCAGTTGTTTGGCTGGGGGTGAGGGGACCGACGGGCACAGGATTACCCTGGAAGATAGATACACGCCGTCGATGGAGCCCTGACAAATTGGGTCACTGACATCAGCTGGCCTGTTGCTGCCCAAATTTCCAACTCCAGAGCCTCTGCTTAGTTCTGATCTGGCCACTTTGCACCAGGAAAGGGCAGCAGGGGAATCCAGACCGTCCAGGGTGTGGTGGGGGGAGACCAAGGTGCTGGCTCACTCTCAGGGCACAGAGAAGGTGGGCACATCTGTGGTGGTACCTGTGAAGGGCAACCAGCTTTCTACGAACCTCGCACCCCACAACCACCTCTGAGAAGACGAAAGGGAGAGAAAGAGAGCTGTGAGGCAGCAGGAGGGGCTGGGTCTCGATCATAGGAACGAGCAGACAGTGCCGCTATGGAAATGAGCAAATTAAGCAGCAACACGTCCAGGTGGGTCCCGAATCGTCCTTTGTGGGAAGCCAGCTCCAGCAGAAGGCCTAGGGGGAAAATAAGAGAAGGGGCCTTGTCCCCTTATTTATAAGATGTGTTTTTCAAATCATAATGTGTGATATTGGTAACTCCTTCCATTCCTAACTTTGCTGTATAGCCTGTGTTCCCAGTGACTCTGCAGTGCCACAGTGGTGGCCACAAGGGGGTAGATTGAGGACCTGAGAGGCACAGAGGTCCCCAGCAAGTTCTGAGTGGCCTGTAAGGTCCCTGGCCAGAGAGAGGGGGCCCAGTTCAGGGGAAAGTACAGGAGGATCCCAGCGTTCAGTGCCTGTAACTGGCCCCTCTTTCTGCCCACAGGTTGTTGAAGACTGGAAATACATGGCTATGGTGGTGGATCGGCTGTTCCTGTGGGTGTTTGTGGTTGTGTGTGTGCTCGGCACTGTGGGGCTCTTCCTACCTCCCCTCTTCCAGACCCATACACCTTCTGAGGGGCCCTAAGCTGCCCTGTGTCCGGGGGCCCCTGGATTTGTGAAGTGAGATGATGTGAGTGGTCAGGTGGGCAGTTTGCTGCTTCCTTCCTATGGCTGATGAGCCCCTAAATAAATGAGGCCAGCAGCCATGGCTGAGGCAGAGGCAAGGATGGGGGTCCCAGACTGAACTCCCTGAAGGCCTTGGAGGAGCCCCAGGAAACCCCAGCAGGAGGGGGTTTTGGACAGTTTGTTTCTGGCTAGTTTTCCTCCCCAGCTGGGGAGGACGAGCACCAAAGCAGCATCTCACATGTGCCATGCATCTTGCCTGCACCCCGGCCTACCTCTTTTCCATCTCCCCACCCATTCCCACCACTCCTCGTCCCTGAGGCTCACAGGCCTCTTTCAGCCCCTCATACATGCCCAAATCCTTCCCAGCTTATAGCCTTTGCATGCACTGTACCTTCTCAAACCTTCCCAAGAGCCTCCTACACTCTTCCCAAGGCCACATCACTCAGTACTCCACTCCAATCCCTCCTGTGTTCCACTGTAACCCCCTCCAGTCACTTATTCTAAAGTGTTCTCCTCCCATGGCCACATGTCTCGACCACCTCCCTGCAGCACCCGTCAGTACCTGATGCCCTTATTTAGTGGCATGTTCATTGTCCTCCTCTTACCCACTAGAGTCTGAGCTCTGTGAGAGTAGGGACCTGGTATTCCCTGCAGTATTCCCAGGGCCTAAGACAGAGCCTGGCATATAGTAGGTGCTCAATAAATGTTTTTTTTGAATCAAATAATGGCTCGCTCTTATTCCTCTTTCAAGCTCTGATGCCCCTCATCTGAGCAGCCATACTTGGCTCCACACCTGAAAGGCATGGCTCTCTCCTCCACACTCCATATCCCTGGTCACAGTCTGCTCTATGTCACAGCTGGGTTTGGGGGCATCTCCCCCACAGGTGCTCTAATTGGTCCCCCCACATACTATATTTTGCCTAGTGCCTGGCCTGTTGTAGGCTTTCAAAATATATGTGACATGGAGGTGGACTTTTAAAAAAATTCTATAATAAAATTATTATCAGATGGCCAAAATATATATTTCTCAGGTATAGATGGTCTTCATCCACAGTTCCTGAAAATGCTTCAGAGCCATAAAGGTGAAATGAGTGTCTTGTTATGTTAATAGGAAGACTCTTAAACCCTGACCCAAAGTCGGGGGCTGGTTGCCAGGGTTCAACCATGTGATTAGAGGGTAGAAACTTTCAGCCCCCAACCTCCTGGGAGGGAAGAAGGGCTGGAGGTTAGATCAGCCACTGGCTAATGACTTCACTCATGACTATGCTGTAAAAATCCACAAGAAGAACATTTTGCTCCATTTTGCATCCTGCTTCCCTGTCTGAGAGAGTTTTCATGCTTGGGGAACAGAACCCTTCCAAGTGCCACCAAGCGTGGCCTCAAGCCCCACCAGGACAGAAGCTCCTTTATTGGGGACCTTGCCCTATGTATGCCTTCATCTGGCTGATAACTTGCAGTATCCTTTGTTAAATCAGTAAACAGAAGTGTTATTCCTGAGTTTTGTCAGTGACTCTAGCAAATTGACGGAACCTAAGAGGTAGTTCCTTGGAATCTCCAATCTGTATCCTGTGGGTCAGAAGCACAGGTAAGCACTGGAAAGACCCATCACCCAAAACAACTGGAATCTGGAGGAGTGAGGGTGCTCCTGTAGGACTGAACCCCTAACCTGGGGGATCTGGTGCTGTCTCCAGGCAAATAGTGTCGGAAGTCAGTTGTGTCAGAATTCTCAGACACTCTGCTGGTGTTTGAGAATTGCTTGGTGTCATGCATGGGAAACCACCCACACCCACACCCACACACCCACACACTGGACTTGGGTCCAGGAACCTGCACAGAATTATACAACAAAATTGACTTTCTATGTATAATTCTATGAATTTTAACACCTTGATACATTTGTGTGTTCAAGATACAGAAAAGACCCATCACTTAAAAGTGCTCTTCTGCTACTCCTTTATGGTCATGCCTCCCTCCACCCCTAGTCTTGGCAACGACTGATATTTTCTCTATCACTTTAGTCTTTTCAAGAACAAGAATGCCATTTAAGTGAATCATTTAGTATTAAATTTTGGAGGGACGCTTCTTTTATTTAGCATAATGCCTTTGAGGTCCATCTGCAATGTCAAGGGTACCAATGACTCGCTCTTGTTTGGCTGAGCAGCATTCTATCATGTGGATGTTGAAGCACCTGTAAGTCGTTGCCAGTTTTTGGCAATTATGAATAGAGCTGCTATAAACATTCAAGTATAGGATTTTGTGTGAACAAAAGTTTTTATTTCTCTAGATAAATACTCAGGAGTGTGATTGCTGGGTTATATGAGGAGTGTATGTTTAATTTACATGAAACTATCAAAGACTTTTCTGGAGTGGCCATACCATTTTTCATTCCCTCCAGCAAAGTATAAGAGATCCAGTTGTTCTACATCCTTGTCTGCACTTGGTATTAGCAGTATTTTGTTTTTCATTTTAGTCATCCCAGTATTTATGAAGTGATATATCATCTTGCTTTTAATTTGCTTTTCCCTAGTGGCTAGTGACACTGAACATCTTTTCAATAAATTTTTGGCCTTCTGTATATCCTCTTTGGTGAAGTATCTGTTTATGACTTCTTTGCTCATTTTAGAAACATCTTTACTGAGGTATAATTTACTTATCATAAAATTCACCCATCTTAAGTGTAAAAATCAATGAGTTTTAGTAAGTTTATCACCATAATCCAGTTTTAAAACATTTACATTACCCAGTAAGATCCCTCATACCTATCTACTGCTACAGTTGAGTTTTGAGGGTTCTTTATATCTTCTGGATATATAAGCTCTTGGTTGGATATGTGATTTCACTTTCCAAATAAAGGGTTTTTAGCCAAGAGAATGAGAATGCTCTAAACGGGGACCTGAGAGTTTGGTGCTAATTCTTACAAACATTTTCTGGGTTCCACAAAATGGCTCCTTTTGTTTGGTTTTAATGTGAATAAGCAGGTGCCTCGCCTTTCCTGTAATAAGAGAACCGCAAGAAAGCCTATAGGCGCCCCACCCCGCGCTTAGCGCGCCTAGTCAGAGAGGCCAGGCGGGCCTGGGGAAGCCTGCCTGACCCTGCAAACTGCCCGCGCCCCCAGGGGTGCGGATGGGGAGGAGTGCATGAGAAGTTCTGCAGCAGCGTGGAAGCAAAGTGCCCTTTCTGATGGCTACATTTCGAAGCTTCATTTTTTATTTATTTTGTCTTTTTTTTGTTCTACTTCTTAAAAAATATGTCAAACGAAGTAACCTCCAGATACTCATCTAGCCTCAATGGACTCATGGCGGATATTGTTTCGATTGACTGACTCTTCCCGGCCGAAATCATAAACGCTGTTAAAAACACAAATACCACGATCACACCTAAAATATTTAACACTTTCTTGTAACACTTTCTTACAGAGTCAAATCTCGAGACCTCGTACTGAGGGTGTCAGAGCCTCTCAGGCGGACCAGCGAACAGTCAGAAGGTTGAGACCCGCCAGCACAGGGACCAGGGGCCGCTCTGCGCCTCCCACGCGGCAGCGCACCTCCCCGGCTGCCCCCGTGGAGACTCAGAAGGCCCACGGCCGCGGGACTGGGAGGGAGGCCGAGAGGAGCCCGCGCTGGGCAGGGCGCGCCTCCGGAGAGCCCAGGCCCGGAGCCTGGGGCCGGGCCCTGCCGGCGGGGCGGGGCTGTGGGCGGGACAGGTGGGCGGGGCTGCACTGCGGGCGGGGCGGGGCGCGGCGCGGCGCGGCGGGTCCGGGAGGCCTCGGCCCTGCCTGGGCGGTGGGCGGGACGAGTCTGGCGCGCCGCCTCTCCGAGGTTCAGATCCGCTCCGCCCGCCGAGCCCTCGACGCTGGCCGCCCGTGCGCGCGGGTCTCGGGCCGGCAGGCAGAGTAGCGATGGACGCCCACCCGCGTGGAGTCCGCGTCACGGGGCCTTCGCAGCTGCCAGCGCCGCCCCTGCTGCTGCTCTTGCTGGTCCTCCCAGGTTTGGACTCGGGACCGCGGGGTGGGAACGGTTGCTGTCCGGAGCGCAGCGCCGGGAGGCGGAGAGCAGGGGCGCGGTTGTCGCGGACCCGGACCCCCTGCGGCTGGTGGCGAGCTGCGCGCGGATGGCCGTTTCCCCTTCGGCACCCCCTGCCTGATAGGGTGCAGGGAAGCGCGGGGAGGGCCCGGGCTGAGGTGCTTCCGTCCCCGTTCCAGGGGTTACGGATCGGAGTCCTGGCTCTGCCCCTCGCCCATACTCGGCGCACCGGGCCCCGGGCTGCTCCAGCGCCTGCATCCCTCCCAGTTTTACCAATAGATGGAAAACAGGTCAGAGAGCTGAAGAGTTGACCAAGGCCTTCTGGGGAGAGGGGAGTAGTTTCGGGGCTCGGGGGCGGCAGCGGGCGCGCCAGCCTTCCTCCCTGTCTCTCCGCGCTCCGGACTGTGTAACCGAGACGCCTGGCGGTGCAGCGCGTGCCCCCGCTTTCCGCTGGTCTCTAAGAGGAAAGCAAGAGGGAGAAGCCCGTCCTGACACACCGCCAGAAGGCTCTTCAGGGGGCCTGGGAGATGCCAAGTGGCGAGGGATCTGGTAGGGCTGCGAGGGGTTCCTGCGGCCGGTAGGCTGTGGGGAGAACACGTTGACTGTACTCAGAGCGCTGTTTCTGCCTCCTTGGTGCTGAGACACCCACTACTTCGAGTGCCTGGCCCTCCCTACACAGTTGCTGCCTGTGGCCTCTCCTTTATTTGAGGGCGGCACCCATTCTCAAGACCTGGAGAAGTTGCGTTGGACTTCACCAAGGATTCCCTACATTCCTTTCCCAGACGGTCCCCAGGTTCAAGACGCATGGGGTGTGGCTTTGAACAAAGGGGGTCCCAGGGTTTCAGAGAGACAAGGGTCTTTGATCAGGATGTGAAGATAGCATCAGCAGAACCACGGGTCACACTCTGAGATCATGGAAGCCACTTACACACCCTGCTTCTAAGAGGGTTGGTGGCCACACCCCTAGAGGGTCCTGGGTGGGATGGAGAGCCCCAGACCTGGGCTACAGTCTCCTGCAGGCTGGAGTGCAGAACATCTGGCCCTGGGTGACCTGGGAGCCGACTGGTCTTCTCTCCATCATAGAAGCCGTGAACTGCTCCACCTAGGTAGACTGTGTTCGCATCACATCCCTGCCTTATAGTAACAATGAAGGTAGGATAGTTCTTGAGCTCCCATATGCCAGTACTAAGCTAAGCTTATAACAGCCCTAGGATGTGGACACATTTATAATTGATATTTTCACAAATAAACAGACTCAGAGAGGTCAAGCCACTTGCCTAAGCTCACACAGCTCACAAATAGCTTGTCAGGATTTGTACCAGATCTATCCAAATTCAGAGCCCAGACTTATAAACCACTGTGCTTCTCACTGAATGTGTGACCTGATGGAATCCTTGTCTCTCTTGGGCCTCAATTTAAGCAGTAAGACTAATTTGAAAGTCTGGAGTTCCAGAGGACCCCCAGCAAGCTGAGAGGGGGGGCTGTAGGTGGGTGGTGTCTCTGGTGAAGGGAAAAGTGGCAGTTTCCCCAGGGTCTGACAGGGCTAACTCCTCAGCGGCCAGCGCCTCGGAGGCAGAGCACCGTCTGTTTGAGCAGCTCTTTGAAGATTACAACGAGATCATCCGGCCTGTGCTCAATGTGTCAGATCCTGTCATTATCCAGTTTGAGGTGTCTATGTCTCAGCTGGTGAAAGTGGTGAGTGCTGGGGTCACAAGCTGTGGCCATGGGGAATGGGGTTTCTGGAAGAGCCTTTCCCAGAACCAGCCTTGTTTTTGTAATTCACACGTCAACTTCAATCTCTCTGTCTAGGATGAAGTAAACCAGATCATGGAGACCAACCTGTGGCTTAAGCAAGTGAGTAGACCCTGAGCACTGCTGCCCCCTGGTGGTGACTGCTTTATTTGCTGTCTGTAAATAAATAGGGGACCCAAGACCTGGCTTCACTTCTTTGGACACAGATTGGGGTCCACTGACTGGCTCATCCGTCTCTTCCTGGGCTTGGGGTCACATGCCCTGGTCTACAGTCCCTTTGGAAGGACTTCAGGGCCCAGCCTCTCGAGTTACAGATGACAGACTGCAGCCTGTAGAGAGAGATTTTTCCCACAGTCACACAACAAAGTAGGACAGACCTTCGTCTGAAGCCCAGGCCCTGAACTCTGGGGTGGTTCGTGAGACCACCTCCTTCCCTTTCTCTTGCCAAAAAGTCATCCTTAAGTCAAAAACAAGTGCTGTTGTTCTTGTTATTAGGGTGGGAATAGAGGCTGTGGATTTTTGTTGAGAGTGAGGCCAAAGAAATTGACTTACATATCCTCCCAGGGTTTGTTCAGACCTGGACAGATAACCCACTGGTCTAGTGGTGACCCTGCTGCCAGCCCAGCCAACTGAGTGCTCCGCTCATGCAGCCTTCCTCCCCAGGAGGCTGGAAAGGCAGATGGGCATGGTGCCCAATTAGCACTCTAAGGCACGTTTTCTTCCTGGCCACAGCCTCGCCTCTCAGGCGCTCAGGACATTCCTGGGCTCTGATGGAACCATGGTTCCATTCCCAGAACCCTTTAGAGGCAAACCCTTAAACTGCTTAAACTGGAGGTGGAAGAGGGTTCTGTGTGTCCTTAGCACCCTGTTATTGGGGCATCTGAAAAAGATCCTGAAGAGCCATTTCAGGGACATACACAGCAGAAGCTAAGGCATGAACCTGGACTTGGCACTAGAAAGGACAAGAGAAAGCACTGGTCCTCCTTATTTGATTGGTGAGGGGCTGGGTTTGCCCACAGTCATGGAGCCGGTGGCTTCCACGCAGTCAGAAGGCAATCTGAACACAGAGCCCAGTGTGTCTTCCTCCTCGCATCCACATGATAAACTGGGCCTGTGTGGTCAGTGACAGGAAGCAGAAGTAGGGAGTTCAAGACTGATGTCAAGAGAAGTAAAACCATGCTGGTTCTTTTGCTCGTCCTTCTCCTTCCTTACTCTCCCCCCAGATCTGGAATGACTACAAGCTGAAGTGGAATCCCTCCGACTATGATGGAGCAGAGTTCATGCGCGTCCCTGCACAGAAGATCTGGAAGCCAGACATTGTGCTGTATAACAAGTAAGGTGCTTGGTGGCCCGCAGCCTCCCAGGGATACTGGGTCTGGTGCACTTACAGCCTAGCCTTCCTCAGACCTTTTTTTTTTAATTGAAGAATAATTGATGTACAATATTAGCTTCAGGTGTACAACATAGTGATTCGACATTTACGTAAATTATGAAATGCTCACCACAGTAAGTGCAGTTACCATCTGTCACCATACAAATATGTTATCAACTATATTCCTTATGCTGCATATCCCCATGTCTTTCACAACTAGAAGTTTGCATCTCTTGATCCCTTTCACAAAACTATTTTGTCTATTTCCCCATGTCCTCCCTTCTGGCAACCATCAGTTCTCTGTATCTCTGAGTCTGTTTCTCTTTTGTTTTGCTTGTTAATTTGTTTTGTTTTTTAGATTCTATGTATAAATCATATGGTAGTTGTCTTTTTCCTTCTGACTTTGCTTAGCATAATGACTAATTTCAGTTAGTCCATTCATGTTGTCATAAATGGCAAGATTTCATTCTTTTTTGCAGCTAATATTCTATTATATATATATACCACAACTTCTTTATCCATTCACCTATTGTTGGGCATTTAAGCTGCTTCCATATCTTGGACATTGTAAATAATGCTGCAATGAACATAGGAATGCATGTCTTTTTTGAATTAGTGTTTTCATTTTCTTCAGTAAATAGCTAGATTGAATGTTATTTCTATTTTAAATTCTTTGAGGAACCTCCACAATGTTTTCCATAGTGGCTGTACCAGTTTACATTTCCAACAGTGTAGGAGGGTTCCCTTTTATCCACATTCTCACCAATGCTTGTTATTTATTTTTGGTAATAGCCATTCTGACAGGTGTGAAGTGATATCTCTGTGGTTTTGGCCATATGGATATCTTCTTTGGAAAAATGTCTATTTAGGTCTCCTGCTCATGTTTTTTTTTTTTT